GAGTGGTCCAGCACTTCTGTGTTCTCAAGTTTTCTAAATTCTTGTGTGTTATTGTCTACCTGTGAGTTATATTAACTGTATTGTTTATTTTTGTTTATTGCTTGTTGTTTTTATTATTGCTTGTTGTTTTTGAGGTGCTGTTGGGCTTGGCCTCATGTAAGCCGCTCCGAGTCCCTTGGGGAGATGGTGGTGGGGTATAAATAAAGTTTTATTATTTATTATTATTATGAGGGGAGAGAGAAAAGTGGAGCAGCCACAACAGTGTGACCAAAAATAACATGAAGGACTGGGAATGCGGGACAGATACCTTACAGCGAGGCGACAGGAGGGAATGTGTGGCTGCTTATGCTGGTCTCACTGCGATGTGTGCGGTGGCGTTAACAGGGTCACTGCCGACTGGGAACAGGCCCAGCTCCCTCCGTCGTTCCTCATCAGGCTTGGTTTCCCGGCCTTTGATCGTCTTGGGTCGCCCTTCTCTGGACCCGTTCCAGCTTCTCAATATCTTCTTTGTTGTGGCGCCCAGAACCGGAAACAAGACTCCGCGCGAAGCCTGATAAAAGCGGAATAGAGTGGCACTATTGCTTTCCTTGATATTAGCTTATTGGGTTGCAGTCTTACACTGTTGACTCATGTTGAGCTCATGATCTGTTAAGACTGCTAGAGCCCTTCTGCACGCATTCACACTAAGCCAGGAGCCGGTGCATTTGCATTTATGCTGCAGCACCTTTTGTGCATCCCTGCTCAAGTTTGCTTGGTTGTTTTTGGCCCAGTTCTCCAAAATTGTTTGGTAACATTGAAAGAAAAGAGAAAGACCGTTTTCAAGGGGGATGAGCACCAACCAAGGAGCCTGCAGCCCTGAATTTGTGATAATAATGGGGTCACTTCAAAGGGTTTCATTCCTAGTGGGTCACCGGAAGCCAAATCCGAGAAGCATGTGATGGCAAGAGATCACAATGCAGGGGAAGGGTTGAATCTTATCCACCAGCAGCTCCAAAAAGCGTTAGAGAAATCACATTAGCCTCTTCCTCATTTTATAATAATAATAATAATTATTTATTTATTTATATCCCACCACCATCTCCCAAGATGCTGCTCCTGCATACATTTTTATTGCTTTTTTATGTTTGGACATATCTCCAAAACATTGGCCAACAATGTTCTACAAGGGTTGAATGAAAAGTAATGCTTCCACCTTCGTTACTTGGGTTTGGATGGGAATATTTTAATAAATCAAACACAGAAATAATCCTTAGAATGTGCTCTTTAATGACCACTATTCACTTTTCCACATAATCACCAGACAACTGGATACATTTCTGCCAACAATGAACAACCGCTATTCACGTTTCCACATAATCACCAGAAAACTGGATACATTTCCACCAACTTTTCCACATAATCACCAGACAGCTGGATACATTTCTGCCAACAATGAACAACCACTAGTCACTTTTCCACATCATCACCAGATAACGAGATACATTTCCTCCAACTTTTCCACATCATCACCAGACAACTGGATACATTTCTGCCAACAATGAACACCACTATTCACTTTTCCACATCATCACCAGACAACTGGATACATTTCTGCCAACAATGAACAACCACTATTCACTTTTCCATATCATCACCAGACAACTGGATACATTTCTGCCAACAATGAACAACCACTATTCACTTTTCCACATCATCACCAGACAACTGGATACATTTCTGCCAACTTTTCCACATCATCACCAGACAACTGGATACATTTCTGCCAGCAATGAACAACCACTATTCACTTTTCCACATCATCACCAGACAACTGGATACATTTCTGCCAATTTTTCCACATAATTGCCAGACAACTGGATACATTTCTGCCAATTTTTCCACATAATCACCAGACAACTGGATACATTTCTGCCAACAATGAACAACCACTATTCACTTTTCCACATCATCACCAGACAACTGGATACATTTCCGCCAACTTTTCCACATAATCACCAGACAACTGGATACATTTCTGCCAACTTTTCCACATCATCACCAGACAACTGGATACATTTCCGCCAACTTTTCCACATAATCACGAGACAACTGGATACATTTCTGCCAATAATCAAAAAGTTTTTTGAAGCCGTCACAGAAGAAGTCGACACTCTGTTTCCGCAACCAGCGTCTCACAGGTCTCTCATCCTGGGTACCCATCGTGCACAGACCTTCCGATAGCCAAGCAAAGCAATAATGTGACCCACATGTTCTTGTGAAATGCCGATTATGCTTGAAATTTCTGAGTGATATGACGATCGTCCTGAATCAATCTATCAATCTTCTGCTTGTGAAACTCGGTGGTTGCTGTCACAGGACGTCCAACTCTTTGTTTTTTATGCAAATCAGACGTTCCCACCTCAACATCTTTAAACTTAGTTGCCCAACGATGCACAGTACTCACATCAACACAATCACCACAAACAGCTTGAATTCTCTGATGAATCTCCTTTGAGGTGACACCTTCTGCTGTCCAGAATTCAATGACTGCACATTGCTTGTCGCATTGACTGACTATCTGCGCTGGGTTCCATACTTTGCACTATATCAACACAACCAGTTCATGTTAAGGCTTCCTGCCAAAATGGAATTGAAGAGAGGAGCCCAGAGAAGTCTTTCTCTAGGGAGTGTGTTCAGAGGATGAACTGCCAGGTCCAGTGAACAAAAATACATCCTGCAAATCAGATATTTACATTATGGTTCATACCAGTAACAAGATGACATTTATGAAATAGCAACGAAAATAATGTTATGGTTGTGGGTCAGCACAACATTAGGAAGGTTGAGAAAACTGGTATAAAAGGATGTGGATGATCTGAACAGAATAGGGTCATCAACTCTTTCACTGAGCCATAGAACAGCCTCTGCATTTCAGTTGCCGCACATACACACATACAAAAAAAGGAGAAAGCAAGAAGTTCATCAATTATTTAGATAATATCGTGTAGCTGAATCATAAAGGCTGCTGGCAAGGCGTTGCCTCGCTGAAGGAATGCCTGCCACTACTTGCAATCTCTCAATCACCTTGCTCCTAAGTCCACTTTGCGGTTCCTTCCTACCATTGCAGAAACTATATCAATGTCACGCCACACAACAATCCTGTCCAACACCTCCGTAAAAGACAACTAGTGGGTTGTTGTAGGTTTTTGAGGGCTATATGGTTATATTCTAGAGGCATTCTCTCCTGAAGTTTCACCTGCATCTATGGCAAGCATCCGCAGAGGTTGTGAGGTATGTTGGAACTAGGATACTTGGGTTGATATATCTGTGGAATGACCTGGGTGGGACAAAGAACTCTTGTCTGTTGGAGCTAGGTGTGAATGTTTCAACTGACCACCTTGATTAGCATTTGATGGCCTGGCAGTTTTTTGAGGATGCTTGCCATAGATGCAGGTGAAACATCAGGAGGGAATGCCTCTAGAACATGGCCATATAGCCCGAAAAAACCTACAACAACCCAGTGATTCCGCCTGCAGATACCAAAAAAGAAGTTTCCCCAAGCCCCCAACAAACAGGGGTGGGGGTGGCGGGGGGGGGGGAAGAGCACCTGATGAACCAACCAACACAGCATATTATTTGAGAACACAGAAATGCTGGACCACTCCCACAACCACCATGTCAGACTACACAGAGAAGCCATTGAAATCCACAAGCATGTGGACAATTTCAACAGAAAGGAGGAGACCATGAAAATGAACAAAATCTGGCTACCAGTATTAAAAAAACTCTAAAATTACAACAGCAAAACAACAGAGAGGAAACAATCAGGGACAGCTAATCACCTTTCAACAAAAGATTCCCCCAGGCAGTAACAAGCCACACCAAAAAACTGCCAGGCTATCAAATGCTAATGAAGGTGGTCAGCTGAAACATTCACACCTAGCTCCAACAGACAAGAGTTCTTTGTCCCACCCAGGTCATTCCACAGATATATCAACCCAATTTTCCTAGTTCCAACAAACCTCACAACCTCTGAGGATGCTTGCCATAGATGCAGGTGAAACTTCAGGAGAGAATGCCTCTAGAACATGGCCATATAGCCCGAAAAAACCTGCTTTCAAGCTAATCTGACCTGCAGCAAGGAGTTCCTCAGTTCTCCACTGCCCACTTGGGCCAGCTTCCCGGGGACATGGCTTCAGATTCAATCAAGAATCACTCAGTTTGCTTCACTTTCTTCCCCTTGCCTAACATTGTAGCAAATCCCCCAAATAAAGTATCAATTAATTGTAACTTTTTTCTCTATAGTGTTACTTTGTGTCTTTCATTGCCTCTGACCTCTCTTTGCATGAACCTCTCCTCTCCTCTGGAAGACGGCTGCCGGCCCACTCAGGATGCGATTTTTGCTTCCCGGGGAGGCCGAAACTGCGCTCCTTTAACCGCGGATATGGAAACCCATCGGGTCTCCGTATCCACGAGTCAACGGATCATTTTGAAATTGGTGTCATTCTTCTCTTGGGAGAATTCTAAGACTAATGGCTATCTCACTTTCACTCCGCGGAGTCCTCCGCCCTGGGAATAACTATTTTTGTCTCAAAAACCCTCAACATGGAGTCCAGCTGGCTCCCCGATGACACCACATCGCTGCCACCATTACGTGGATGTCCAGAAAGTCTGTCGATCCGGGGAAACTGTCACTGTCACCCCTTGGGATCCCACAGATGTCGGTGGGCCATATTCTTTGTCTCGCCAGGGCCACGGACTCTCATTGGTGAGTTTGTTTGGTCTTTGCCTCCTGGCAAAGACCCCTAAATTCTTGCTCGATATCAATTCCACAGATATATAAATCCAATTTTCCTAGTTCCAACAGACCTCACAACCTCTGAGGATGCTTGATGTAGATGCAGGCAAAACGTCTGAAGAGAGTGCTTCTAGAACATGGCCATATAGCCCGAAAAAACCTACAACAACAACAACCCAGTGATTCCGGCCTTGAAAGCCTTCGACAATACAAAGACAACTAGTTTTCCTCCATTAAAAGATAAACTTTAATGAGCTAATAGTAGTCTTGATGGGTGGACATTGAGATGGAAGGGCAACAAATGTGGAGGACATTGAACGGCTATTACAAAGGCATGTTGTTGTAAGGTTGTTCAATGGTAACATAGATTTAGGGAAGAGAGTTTTATTATTTTTGGGGCATTGATCTAACTTGACAATTCATCCTCTCCAATCACGTAAACAATGCAAAGTGGCAAGAAGAGTAGTGGATAGTCTATGGGACATGTTGTGTTTTTTCAGGACACAATAGATGTAGTAGAAGCAGGATAGGACTAGTAGAGCAATGTCTAATGTTGTCCTCAGCAGCAGCAGGAGGGTCCATCCCAGAAAGGGAAAAGTGGGGCCTTCTCTGGGTGGAAATTCCCTTGGAGTATTTAGAGGCAGACTTCCCATCCTGCTTCTAATACTTGGTGGTGAAGGACTGGAACTCTAGAGAAGAGATCTCCTTCTCGTTGGAGAACACGGCCCGGTCAATGCGTGACATGGGGCTCCCCACCGTGCGCAGCCAGTTCTTCCTGGGGAGGGAAAGGGGAGAAGAAGAACAAATCAGCAGGCTGCTCTGCTCCCCTTCCCAAACCAGCTTGGATCCAGGCTGTTCATAGACTACACAAGTTGTCAAGTCACAGAGACTAGGACAGGCATGGGCCAACTTCGGCCCTCTAGGTGTCCCACAATTCCTAACAGACAATGCTCACAATTCCTAACCAGCTTGGATCCAGGCATGGGCCAACTTCAGCTCTCCAGGTGTTTTGGACTTCAACTCCCACATGCTCCCCATGCTCTATTTTGCCTTGGTTAGACCACACCTGGAATATTGTGTCCATTTCTGGGCACCACAATTGATGAGAGATATTGACAAGCTGGAATGTGTCCAGAGGAGGGCGACTAAAATGATCAAAGGTCTGGAGAACAAGCCCTATGAGGAGCGGCTTAAAGAGCTGGGCATGTTTAGCCTGAAGAAGAGAAGGTTTCTTGATTTAAGGCATTGGTTAATAGCCGAACAGAGGATGGGCCAGAGATGTCACTGCCTTGATCCTTTCATTACAGTGACAAATGCAAGAGACCCCACTTAGGCAGAAAAAAATGAAATGTAAAGATACAGAATGGGGGACTATGCCTCGCTCGAGAGCAGTACGTGTGAAAAAAGATCTTGGGGTCCTCGTGCACAACAAGTTAAACATGAGCCAACAATGTCATGTGGCGGCAAAAAAAGCCAATGGGATTTTGGCCTGCATCAATAGGAGTCTAGTGTCTAGATTCAGGGAAGTCATGCTCCCTGTGCTCTATTCTGCCTTGGTTAGACCACACCTGGAATACTGAGTCCAATTCTGGGCATCATAATTGATGAGACAAGCTGGAATGTGTCCAGAGAAGGGTGACTCAAATGATCAAGGGTCTGGAGAACAAGCCCTATGACGAGTGGCTTAAAGATCTGGGCATGTTTAGCCTGAAGAAGAGAAGGCTGAGAGGAGACATGTATAAATATGTGAGAGGAAGTCCTAGAGAGGAGGGAGCAAGCTTGTTTTCTGCTGCCTTGGAGACTAGGATGCAATGGAAAAATGGCTTCAAACTACAAGAAGGCAGATTCCATCTGAACATTAGGAAGAACTTCCTGACTGTGAGAGCCGTTCAGCAGTGGAACTCTCTCCCAGAGTGTGGTGGAGGCTCCTTCTGTGGAGGCTTTTAGATAGAGACTGGATGGCCATCTGTCGGGGGTGATTTGAATGCGATTTTCCTGCTTCTTGGGAGAATGGGGTTGGACTGGATGGCCCGTAAGGTCTCTTCCAACTCTATGATTCTATGATTCTACTAGGATAGGCTTTGACTCCCACAATTCTTAAGAGACAATTCCCACAATCCCTAATCAGCTTGGATCCAGGCTGTTCATAGACTACAAAAGCTGTCAAGTCATAAAGACTAATTCAGGCATGGGCCAACTTCAACCCTCTAAGTGTTTTGGACTTCAACTCCCATGGTGGGAGTTGAAGTCCAAAACACCTGGAGGGCCAAAGTCTGCCCAAAACAGTGAGCCATGACAAAGGAAATAATCTTGAGAGGAAGGGAAAAAAATACACTGGGTAGCCTAGTTTCCATTTACAACAGCAGGAATCTATATAAATAAAAATGTAATGTTCGTTTGTGGGATTAACATAACTCAGAAACCACTGGTCGAATTGACACAAAATTTTGACACAATACATCTAACAATCCAAGGAGTGTCCATCACCCCTAAAAACACACAAACTGCCCCCCACCCAGCGGAACAGACTTAAAAATCTCCAAATTACACCATATATTCATATATACATACACTCATACACATACACATGTTCATACACACATATATATATGCACATGTACACACACATACATATGCACACACAAATAGGCTATCTGCAAGGATGTTGCCCAGGGGGCGCCTGGATGTTTGATGCTTTACCATCCTTGTGGGAGGCTTCTCTCATGTCCCCGCATGGGGAGTTGGAGCTGACAGAGGGAGCTCAACCTGCTCTCCCCAGGTTTGAACCGCTGATCTATTGGTCAGCCGTCCTGCTGGCAAAAGGATTTAACCCATTGTGCCACCGGGAATGTGCAATTCAATGCTGAAACCATCACATCATGTTGGCTATTATACGAGGGTTGAATGAAAAATAATGCCTCCACCTTCGTGATTCCTCAACAGATGGCAGTACTGGTATGTGGCAGGTACTGGCTTGTTCAGTAGACTCCCTTCTACAGTTCCCTTTTGGCAGGAAGCCTTGGCATTGAACGACTGTATTGTTAAAGTGTGAAGTATGGAAGCCTGTACAGACAGTCAGTCAATGTGACTTGAGCAACATATGTGGCAGGTACTGGCTTGTTCAGTAGACTCTCCTCTACAATTCCATTTTCGCAGGAAGTCTTAGCATTGAACAGTTGTGTTGTTAAAGTGTGAAGTATGGAACCCTGAGTAGTCAGTCCATGCGACTTAAGCAATGAGCAGTCATTGAATTCTTGACAGCAGAAGGTGTCACCCAAATTCTCAGAGAATGCAAGCTGTTAATGGTGATTGTGTTGATGTGAGTATTGTGAATCGCTGGGCGAGAAAGTTTAAAGAGGTTGAGGTGGGAACATCTGACTTGCGTGACAAACAAAGAGTTGGACGTCCTGTGACAGCAACCACTGAGTCTCACAAGCAAAAGGTTGACAGATTGATTCAGGACGATCGTTGTATCACTCAGAGAGAAATTTCAAGCATAATCGGCTTTTCACAATAATGTGTGGGTCACACTATTGCTTTGCTTGGCTATCGGAAGATCTGTGCACAATGGGTACCCAGGATGAGACGACTGTGAGACGCTAGTTGCGGAAACAGAGTGTCGACTTCTTCTGTGACGGCTTCAGAAAACTTGTTCATTGTTGGCAGAAATGTATCCAATTGTCTGGTGATTATGTGGAAAAGTGAATACTGGTAGTCAGGGCCGTAGCCAGAAATTTTTTTGGGGGAGGGTTGAAAATTTCGGGGGGGGGGTAGGTCACGCTGAAGCAAAGAGCACACAGGGGGCAGAGCAGCCTTCAATAGCCCGCAGCTCCGTCCCTGTCAACCACCTCCACCAAGTCTGGCCTCCTTAATGAAAGCATTCAACACACACACACCCAACTTGGTTGCTTCACTACATTGGCTATTGCTGTAAGTAATGACAGTGTGAATAAATTGTCAATATTTGCTTGAGATAGTGCTTGCAGTTCTGGAGGGACTCTTAATTTTTTGCATCTCATAGACTTAGCATGGGGATTTGGTTAACCAGTTAAAATTCATGAGTAAACCAGGTTTTTTTTTTAACCTGAAAAATTTGTGGGGGGGGGGGTTGAAAAAAAAACCCCTCACGATTGCAGATAAAAAAAATAAAAAAAAAAGGGAAAGCAAGATGAGGGTTGAACCCCTAACCCCCGCCCTCGCCCCCCCCCCCCCCCCCCCCGTGGTTACAGGCCTGCTGGTAGTGAAAGAGGACTATTCTAAGGACTATTTCTGCATTTGGTTTATTAAAATATTCCCATCCAAACCCAAGTAATGAAGGTGGAGGCATTACTTTTCATTCAACCCTCGTAGCATTACTATGAATAATAAGTCCCCCACGGATGACACAGCGGGTTAAACCGCTGAGCTGCTGAACTCACTGAATTTCGAATCTAGGGAGCGGGGTGAGCTCCGACTGTTAACCCCAGCTTCTGCCAACCTAGCAGTTCAAAAACATGCAAATGTGAATCGAACAATAGGTACGGCTTCTGCGGGAAGGTAACATCGCTCCATGAAGTCATGCTGGCCACATGACCTTGGAGGTGTCTACGGACAATGCCGACTCTTCGATTTAGAAATGGAGATGAGCACCAACCCCCGGAGACAGACACGAATAGACTTAATGATCTTTACTATATGAATAATAATATGCTATACTAATGCATTACTTAATCCACATGACAATAATGTATTTGATGATTTTGCATCTTAACACAACAACAAAAGCCAGTATTATAGTGTTGGATTAGGACTGGGGAGACAAAGGTTTAAATGCCATGTATTTGGCCATGAAGGAGCTCAGTGGCTGACCTTAATAAATGAAATGGAGATGGGGAAATAGTGCAAAGCACATGCAATTTAAATAGACCACCCCCAGAGAGACAGCTCTGTCAATTTAGAGAGGCGGTAAAAGCATCAAGACACGGATAACAGATAATACTAATCCAGATCATTCCAGATGCCCATAGTCTGCAAATGAGATACATAAAGAAAATATTGAAATATCCATAGCTCGTGAATGAAACTTCCCTTATAGCAGGCATGGGCAAACTTTGGCCCTCCGGGTATTTTGAACCTCAGCTCCCACAATTCCTAACAGCCAGTAGGCTGGCTTGCTGTGATTTTTCTGCGTTGTCTGGCCATGTTCTAGAAGCATTCTCTCCTGACATTTTGCCCACATCTACGGCAGGCATCTTCAGAGGTTGGGAGGTTTGTTGGAAACTAGGCAAGTGAGGTTTATATATTTATTTATTTATTTACGACATTTATATGCTGCCCTTCTCACCCCAAAGGGGACTCAGAGCAGCTTACAAGGTGTGTGTGTGTGTGTGTGTGTGTGTGTGTATATATATATATATATATATATATATATATATATATTATTTATTTATTTACTGTCCTTGTATACCGCCGTTTCTCAGCCTAACTGGCGACTCAATGCGGTTTACAACAGAATATACAGTATACAGTATACAATTAAAACCGTAAAAAACATAATACACAATATTTCACATAAATCACAATCCAATACATCTCCTAACTAAAATCGTGGTCCAGTTGCATCATCCATATTATCAATCCGTAGTCGACACATTCATTGCACCGAATTAACCAAATGCCTGCTTGAACATCCAAGTTTTTAGTCTTTTTCGGAATACCATCAGCGAGGAGGCTGATCTTACCTCCATGGGAAGGGCGTTCCAGATACATACATACAATATATTATTAACATAATAC